TTCAATCGGTTCTCCCCTGGAGTTTGGAGGAGGAGGAGGAGGAAAAGGAGGAGGAGGAGGAGGAAGAGGAGGAGGAGGAGGAGAAGGAGGCGGCAAAGAGACAGCAAGAAGAATCAAACTGCACAAACGGTTGTGGACCAAGATCTTGCACAACTCTGGGCCAACACAGAACATCGTTCTGGGTGCAGGCTTCAATTTTGCATCCTGGTGTCATTTTAAGTCCCCACGGCTGCAAGATTCCAGCCCTCATGGCCTTAAACTTCTCCAAGGGACCCCAAGGAAGGAATCTCAAAGGCCAAAACTCCAGGCGTGGTGGGTGCTTCATCACTGAGGGGTTTTTTTTAAACAACTATTTTGTCTGAAATGGTATCAGGTCTCCTGAGCGGGGGTTTGCTTTTACAGACATTGAGTGAGGAGGGGGAAAAATACTTCTTTCTTTCTTTCATTTAGTAAGCTACAACACTTGGAAGGAGTCAAGAAAAAAACAAAGGGAGAAGATTCGCAGCTCAGGATTGACCTGTGGGGTCCTTGGGGTCTTCTCTGGGTTTGGTGGGTTTCTCGCAAACTATCCCAAAGGTGTTTTGGTTTTTTTTCCCTTTCAAGAAGCAACTGGACTTTCTTGGTCTTCCTTGAAAACGTTTCGCTTCTCATCCAAGAAGCTTCCTCGGTTCTGAAGAAAATGTCTTCCAGGAAACACCAAGAAAGCCCAGGTGCCTTTTGAAAAAAGCACCTTTGGGTCAACCATGACCTGGATGACTGGGGATCTCTGTAGACAACTACCCAAACTAGGTAGCATCATCAGTGCTAGTGATGTACTAGGACTGATAATGTTACCTAGTTTGGGTAATGAAACGTCTCCAAGAAAACTAACCAAGTTCAGAGAGCACCAAGGACCCCACAGTCCTCCTCCTCTTCCTCCTCCTCCTTTTTATCCTGATAATGTTACCTAGTTTGGTGATGAAACGTCTGCAAGAAAACCAACCAAGTTCAGAGAGCACCAAGGACCCCACAGTCCTCCTCCTCCTTTTTATCCTGATAATGTTACCTAGTTTGGTGATGAAATGTCTGCAAGAAAACCAACCAAGTTCAGAGAGTACCAAGGACCCCACAGTCCTCCTCCTTTTCCTCCTCCTCCTCCTCTTTAGCCTCATAATGTTACCTAGTTGGGTAATGAAACGTCTGCAAGAAAACCACCGAGCTCAGAGTGCTCAGAGTCAAGAAACAATTATATGGACTCTGAGGGAGATATGCATTACCTGCCCTAATAAACATTATGAACAGTGCTTTTCAGCTCACTTTAAGGATGTTCTGCTAACTCCGGTGAACATACGATTAAGCTCCAGAGAAATATTTCCTTTTATACTTTACTACATTTTGACAAAAGATAATACATTTTTAAAAGCCCGAAATGTTTCCAACTTCCCTCTCAAAACATTCCCAATAATTCCCACAATCTTCCTGCCATCAGGGGAGGGACAGAAGAGTCCTGAAGCCCCAAACATCTACAGGCCATGTTCGTTTCTTGACCTTTGCTGCAGAAATGGAAGCTTTTGTGGGCTTTGTAAGTAGAATTAATCTCCTGTCCTCAATGCTTGGGTGTGCTAAACCGGGAAATAAACATGACAGAAATTGGGGAGGAAAGCTTGAAACGGAAGCTTAGTGTGAAGACGGCTTGCTAAACCCTTGAAATAACTCGATTGTTTTCCTGAACCGCATCGGTTTTAAAATGGGTGGACTTCCAACTCTCAACATCGGTTGACGGTCACATCTGTGCGACCAGGTGGGATGCTGCCGGTTTAACAACGGGTTCGGTGAGCGAGCAGCGCTGAAATTGGAGCATTTAGAACAAGGGTCTCCAAACTTGGCATGTTTAAGACTTGTGGATTTCAACTCCCAGAATTTTAACTAACATGGCTGGCACTAACGTGACTGGAGGAGGAATTCTGGGAGTTGAAGTCCACAAGTCTTAAAGCTGACAAGGTTGGAGGCCCCTGTCCTAATCGAAGAGAATAATTGTAGCTCAGAGTTGAACCAGTGGGGGGTCTTTGATGTTCTCTGAGCTTTGGTGGTTTTCTTGCAGATGTTTCATTACCCAACTAGGTAATATCATCAGTGCTAGAAGGGAGCAGGGTTTAGTCTGTGAGTTGGGATTGGTCTACTGCAAAGGTCTCCAAACTTGGCAAGTTTAAGACTTGTGGACTTCAACTCCCAGAATTTCTAAGCTAACGTGACTGGAGGAGGAATTCTGGGAGTTGAAGTCCACGAGTCTTAAAGCTGCCAAGTTTGGAGAGCTCTGGTGGGACCCAGAAGAAGGGCCTTCTCTGTGGTGGCTCCTCCCTCTAGAACATCATCCTCCCCAGAGATTAGAATTAATACTCATTAATACTCTTCCGGAAGGCACTGAGGACCTGGATCTGCCAGTAGGCCTGGGGAACCGAGAGCAGGATGGAGCCCACCAAATGGCTTGTGTGAGGTGCCTGTCGCCAGGGCGTGCAGTGGCGGTGGGTTGTTTTATTACATTATTTTATTAATTTAATATATGATTCTCTCTGGTTAGTTTTATCGGTTTTCATATGAGGTTTTGATATCCTTGTCAGCCGCCTCGAGTCACCATGGGCGAATAGGCAATACAAATTTCCTAGATAAATGAATAAGCTCCCAGAATTCCCCTAATTCCGGCATGCTGGAATTGATGTGCACACATAGCAATAGCCCTTAGACTTATATACAGCTTTATAGTACTTTACAGCCCCTCTTCTAAGCAGTTTGCAGAGTCAGCCTCTTGCCCCCAACAATCCGGGTCCTCATTTTACCCACCTCGGAAGGATGGAAGGCTGAGTCAACCTTGAGCCCGTCAGGATCGAACTTCCTGGCTGTGGGCAGAGTTAGTCTGCAGTAGAGCATTCTAACTACTGCGCCACTGTGGCTCACACTATGATGCTGGTCCTCCTCTCTCCAAGTTGATAGGAGCTTCATCAATGTTAGCATTGCACATTTTATAGCTCCCTTATTAGGTGGGTGGTTCCTTCCTTCCTTCCTTCCTTCCTTCCTTCCTTCCTTCCCTCCTTCCTTCCTTCCTTCCCTCCCTCCCTCCCTCCCCTTCCCAAGCAATAGCCTTCAGCCTCTTGCACCTAACAA